ACACACACACACACACACACACACACACACACACACACACACCCCCCATAAATGAGTCTTGAGAGGCCCTTCACATAGTGTTTGGTTGCTTCTCCAGCCATGGTCCAGCTAGAGAGGACTGGTGTCTAGGCCAGTTCCCCACACCTCTGTGAGATCTCCACCCACCCAGGGAGATGGGGCCGAGTCTAGTTATCTCACAGATACAGTGACTTCAGAGAGGCCAGCCTTCTTCCTTTCTTTTTGGTATGACCTAAGGTACTCTGGCACACACAGGGCAAGGAGGACTACCATGCTGCCCTCAGTTTCCCCAGGGCCAGGGGAGAAGGGAGATGAAGGAAGGACTCTGGCTGCGTCATCTGATCTATTGCTCAGGTTGTTTGCTTTGACGTCTTCCAGAAAGGAGTTCTATTAGTCATTTTGTAATTAGCCGAGTCTTAGTTTGTAATTTTCAATACAAGAGTGGTAATTCACATCGTTAAGTCAGTCCCATGAAATTTTATCAAGTGAGAAATACAAATTAAATCAGTATGTAAGCCAGGCGGTGGTGGCATACACCTTCAGTCCCAGCACTCGGGAGGCAGAGCCAGGCAGATCTCTGTGAGTTCAAGGCCAGCCTCGTCTACAAAGTGAGATCAAGGACAGGCACCAAAACTGCGCAGAGAAATCCTGTTTCAAACAAAAACAAAAAAAAAATTTTTTTTTTCTTATTTTTTAGACATTATTTTTAGGATAGGTAATTGGAGTGATGAAAGCTTATTCTGTCCTTTAAAGAAGAAACCTGCTTGCTAAAAAAAAAAAAAAAAAACAAAAAAAAAAAAAAACAAAAAAGCAGTATGTATAGCATGATTCCATAAGAACACTCATAAATGTACATATGTGTATGTAGAAATCTCTGTCTCTCTCTCTCTGTCACACACACACACACACACACACACACACACACACACACACACACGAGAAAAATCTAACAAAAATATTTATATGTGTTAGAGTGTTTAAAACATACTTTAGTTAACCAGGCTGAGCTGAATCCCCAGGGGAGTCCTTGCCCTGGAGGAGATGGGAATGGGGGATGGGCTTGGGGGAGGTGGGGGTGGGCTGCAGGAGGGAGGGCAGGGAAATCCATGGCTGATATGTAAAATTAAACTAATTATAAAATAAATTAAAAAAATACTTTAGTTTCTCTATATACCCTGTATCTTCTACAATGAGGTTGTGTAACTTAAGAAAAGAAGAATGTATTTAAATAAAATTCAGTATAAAGAGGGATACAGGGGCTGGAGAGAGAACTCAGCAGTTAGGAGCATTTGGTGTTCTTCCAGGGGACCTGAGTTCAGTTCCCAGTGCCCACTTCAGGCTGCTGACAATCATCTGTAACTCCAGCTCCAGGGTACCTGATGACTCTGGCCTCTTCAGATAGTTACACTCATGTTCACAAATACACACACACACACACACACACACACACCCCTACACATAGTTAAAATATAATAAAAATAAATCTTCAAAAAAAATTTGAAGTGCTACAATGATAATCTCACCACAGGGTTGTAGTGAAGTTTAAACAAAACACAACCTCTGGCACCCTTAGCACCTGGAAGGAGCATTTTAAGAACAAAGAAAACAAAGGCCTCCCCTCCTGGTTGGGTGTCAAGCAACACTAAATGCATTCCATGCCTCGGGTAAGCACAACCATCCAGGAGGTGGGTTACTCGTTACTCTCCCAGTGTAACTGAGGCATAGGAAGCTCAACAACTTGTCTGCACAGCAGAGCCGAGGTGTGAGGGAAGAGAGCCCAGTTCTGGGGGCACTGCTCGGGTTGGGTACTTTGCCCCTTCCTCTCAAAAAGAGTTATTTTTATTTATGTGTTTATCTCTGTGTGAGCATGAGTGCATGAGTGCAGGTGCCCAAAGGGACCAGAAGAGGTCGCCAGATCCCCTGGAGCTAGCTACAGGGGGGTGCGAGCTGCCTGACAGGGTGCTGGGGACTGAACTTGGGTCCTTTGGAAGAGCTGCAAGTGCTCTTACCTGCTGAGCAGACTGTCCAGCCCAGCTTCCCTATCTCTTGGTGTATCCTAACTGCTCAGTTAGTGTGAGCTGCTGGTAATAAGGATGTACACAGCAGCCAGCTCTTCAGACTCCAGTTTGTAGCTTACTCCACTCACCCCGGCATGAATGTCCCTCTGATGAATGAGGAGCTGGGGAAACACACACACAGCAAACTCTCGCAAGAAGATAGGATCGCTGCAGCACGCCCCTGGGAGATCACTGCAATCTGATCCACACTGGCAGCCGGACAACTGGTTTTCCACTGACAGGAGCTGTCCAGGGTCTCTCCCGGCCCAAGGAAGAACCAGGCCAGAGCTCTCTTGCCTTGTCCTTTGCCAATGAGCTTTCTGGTGGGGTGTCTGTCTGTCTGTCTGCCCCACGATGGTCTAAAAGGAAGGATCGTGCTTTGGTGTCCAGCTTATCTTTCAGCTGTTGGGCTCAAGCAATCCTCCTGCCTCACCTTGGATAGCTGGATCTGCAGATCTGCTGGATCTGGCTTTGATCTTTAAGATGCAGCGTTCAAATGCTAGCTTACTGGTTGTGTCTCATTTAAAAAAAAAAAGAGCCTTGAGCTGGGGTGTAGCCTACTTGATACTGCTTCCCTATCATGGATGAGGCCCAAACCTCAGCATCAGAAAACCAAAACTACATGATGAAATAACAGGAATGCTAACGGTGGTAATCAAGCAAGATGTTTCATGAACCAAGCGCAGTGCTGAGTAAAACATCATCATCTCATTTAGCCCTCCGTCCGTGTTGTGATGCATTAGCACCATTATCCCAGGGAAGGGCACTGATCGGTGACAGGGAGGCTAGGGAGGCTCAGGGGCAGGCCAAGTGTCCGCAACTTACAGCAGCATTAGAGAAAGACCCGAACGGCCAACGGATCTCCATCGGGTTGTTTTGAGGCGAAAAGGGGTGGGGGTAGGGCTGTGTGTGGTCCAGAGGTCTAATCTCTCTTCTCCCTTCCCCCCCTTCCAACCACAGACTCAGAAGGACGACCAACAGAATTCTGGCCTCCTCTTGCTGCAGCAGCAACATTTTAGGGTCAGTGAACGTGTGCGGCTTTGAGCCTGATCAAGTCAAGGTGCGAGTGAAGGATGGCAAAGTCTGTGTGTCAGCCGAGAGGGAGAACAGGTATGATTGCCTCGGATCCAAAAAGTACAGTTACATGAACATCTGCAAGGAGTTCAGCTTGCCGCCATGCGTGGATGAGAAAGACGTGACCTACTCCTACGGGCTCGGCAGCTGCGTCAAGATCGAGTCCCCATGCTACCCTTGCACATCTCCCTGCAATCCCTGCAATCCCTGCGGCCCCTGCGGCCCCTGCGGGCCCTGCGGCCCCTGCGGCCCCTGCGGGCCCTGTGGCCCCTGTGACCCCTGTAACCCCTGCTACCCCTGTGGAAGCCGATTCTCCTGTAGGAAGATGATCTTGTAAGGCGTGTGTAGGAACCTATGTCTTAGCAGAAGTCAGTTCTCCAGCCAGGCAGCTCTTAGGCACCTCTCTTCCCCTTCCCATAGCCCGTGTGGTTCAAGTAGGTAGGAAACTGAATACACAACTGCAATCTGACGCCATTGTGTGCTAGTCTTTTGCTGTGACCCCCTCCAGAGTTAGCTGACTGAAGGATTGAAGGACAGGATGGAAGATGAGATCTGCCCTCCACATCCTTCATCCCTAGCAACCTCTAAACTCACAGACGTCCCTCGACAGTAAGTAATCCTGTGAAGTGGCCCTGCCTGGAAAGAGCACTCTTAGAGTAGCTTAGGAGGAAGATAACCCTCAGTGAGGATTTGGTGGTGATGTGACCTCCTTCCCAAGCCCACCAGGACTGTGGATTTTACTTGGGGACCAGACAACCCTCAAAAGAACAGAGCAATGTGCGGCACGTCCGCAGGTCCGAGAGCAGGGCAGCCATTGAACTTCAGTGTTTCCGCATTCCCGTAGTTTCGACTCTCCCCCTCGGCTCAAGGTCGTTTGCAGCCTCCTGGGGATTTATTGCAACTCTCTTTTTCTAAGTCTTGAAACCGGTTTTAGGCAGACGGTCAATGCAAAGTTCAGGAGCAGGAGAGTACAGCTTCAGCAACTGATGGTGTGGTTCACTTGCATTGGGGTCCTTACTGACGTAGCTCAAGAGCCATTGTTTGTTTTTGAGGCTGGTCTTACTGTGTAACTCTGACTGTCTGGAAAACTCATTATATAAGATAAGACTGGCCTCAAACACACAAAGTCTACCTGTCTCTGCCTCCTGAGTGCTGGGATTAAAGGCCAGGCATGTGCCACCACGCCTGGCTCTTGATGGCTAGGGAAAAGGGACATATGAAGGAAGAATGAAGGGATGCTGGGGAGGAGGAACTGGCTGAAGCTGGTCTCAGATTCTTAGAGGAAACACAAACTCCTGTTTGCAAAGCTGAGTCCTGTCGTTGCCTGTGGATTCGTTTTCCCAGTGTGAGCTGCACTTGGGAGTTACTTGAGGAGCTGTAAACATATGGATGCCAGGCTAAGAAGATGGTTCAGTGGGTAAGAATGCCGGCTGCCCAAGTGTGAGGACTTGAGTTCAAATCCCCAGGACCCACTCAAAGTTGGGCATGACTTGTGACCCCAGCACTGACCTAGCCTAAGTAATGAGCTCCCAGTGCAGTCAGTGTATTAACTGGGGTTCTCTAGAGGAACAGAACCGGGAGAGTGAGTACACATTTGAAGAAACATATTCAGTTGGCTTACACAATACGGTCTGGGTGTCTAACATGGCTGCCTCACACCAAAGCCGCAGAGAACGCGGCCATTTCTCAGTCCACGAGGCTTACTGTCTCAGCACTCCCATTCAGATGCTAAAGTCTGAAGGGTCCTGGGGAGCCTGTGGTCTTCAGCCCCTGTTGGAAGGTGGTCCCCCCCCCCCCAGCAGCAGGGTTCTGACGTCAGTGAGGAAACATGGCGGGGACAGTGGCAGCCAGCGCACATGACTGCGCCAGCCAGAGCAAAGGCAAGCATTCGAAAGCAAAGCTTATTTATTGGACTTTTTTTTCTGGACTGCCACCAGAGGCCACAGCCCATGTGTGGGGTGGGTCCCCACACTCCACATAACAGATGGAGAAAAGCCCTCACAAGTGAGCCTAGATGCTTGCCTTCCAACTGCCTCCAAATCCAGTCAAGGTGACATCCAAGATTAGCCGTGACAGTGAGAGACACCTCTCTAAAGGAGGTAAAGTGGGGAACAAGGGAAGACACCCTTGTGTTCCTCAGGCTTCTGCGCATGCACACATAGACACACATCCCTACACTCATGTGCATACACAATACACACCACACCACACATATACAGCACCACAGTACACATGCATACACACACACACACACACACACACACACACATTAAATGTTCATGTATGTCCAGTGGTAGAGCTTGCCTCACATGATCAGGACCCAGAGTCCGGTCTGTACAATCTTTCTCCCTGCAATCAATCTCTCCAGAGATTAAAATGCTAATCAACTCATGAGACAGCCTGGGCAGCAAGATCTTTAAAAGTTTCCCCAGGTAATTCAAGTATGTACCTTATAGCTAGAAGCTCTGGGCATTCATAAAGCTCTGCAAGCCTTTCTTTCAAAGCCTCCTTCAAGTTCAAGGTTTGAGAATTCTAAGAGTGACAGCAGACATATCTGGCTTTCAGCCGAGGGAAGGACTGGCCTCTAATATAAACGTTGAATAAAAACACTGAGCCATTTCCAAAGTCAATTACCTAACAGCTATCCATTTGAGTGTACCAAACTCTATCCTCACCCCTCTGTCTTGCCAAGTTTTCACTAAATGTTGACATATATATTCTAGTTTCTAAGTCATAAACTTTTGAAAATGCCTTTGAAAAAATTTCACCTATTCAGCTTATCCCATGGGATGTGACCCCTTGAACAAGCAGCAACCTCAGCCCTCCCAAGGGCACTACTCCAGGACTCGTGGAGTGAGTCACGCTTTTATTTCTCCTGCTGATGCAGTAATTCACCCACTCATTTACCAGCCCACTGGCCAGACACGCCAGATACTCTGCTCCACAGTGAATGGAGAAAAAGACACTTTCACAGGGGTGGTAAACTCAAGGAGGGCGCATCAGAAGGGTACGAGGTGGAGATTGGGGAGATGCCGAAAACATTACACTTACGATGCGTAGGAAAGGCCAGAGTGCTTCAGACCAGTCCCCAACATTGCCATGGTGGGTGCTGTGAACATCACTGCCTTGAACCCGGCCTCAGGAGAACTACTAGCCATCTTTGTTTGCTCACCATCAGCACAGGGGGAAAAACAACCTTAAATAAGAGTTTGGGTCTGGCAAGATGGTTCAGTGGATGGAGAATTTGCCACTGAGCCTGACAACCTGAGACAAACATGGCGCAAGGAGAGAACCAAGTCTCCCCTGACCTCCGCATACATGCCAGGGCACACACGCACGAGTGCACACCCACTAAAGGAACATAATAAAACAAAGTTTTAAGAAGACAAGGGTTTATAGACTGAGTACTTGCCCTGAGTTGAGGTACAGTGCCAAGAGCTATTGTTAATAGATACCTTTCTGGAAATTTCTGTAGAGAAGGCAAGACTGGTGCCCACAATATACTTTGAAATGCTTGACTGTGTATTCAGAAGGCATTGTCCGTGTACCTCTGACATCAGAGAAGAATGTGTGGGGTGAAGTCAGAGGAGAGGGGAGAATGTGTGAGCCTCACCTGGGGCCTTGGCAAAGGCATGTGGTACGGCCTTCTCCATGAACTAGTAGAGACCAGGGAGGAAATGGATAATAGAGAAAACAAGCATTTGCCATTTCCAAAGTTGTGTTTGGATGGTTTCACGGAGCCTTGGGCTTGCACAGCTCTACCATGGTCTTGAAAGCAGTTTTGTAGAACAGAGTGCAAAATACTTAATACTCTACTTCATGTATTCCTGAAGGGAGAGGGGGACAAGAAAGAGGCTGGAATGGACAGAGGAAGAAAGAAGCTTGGATGGTGTTAGTTTCTTTTCCTGTTGCTGTGGTAAACTACTCTGATAGAGGTACCTCAAGGGGAAAAGGTTTATTTCAACTCAAAGTTCAAGGGTACAGTCCATCACAGAAGGAAATGAAGGCAGCGGGAGCCTAGAGCCTCTGGTCACATCACACCCACAATCAGGAAGCAGAGAGAGATCAACGCCCGCGGCTGCTCAGCTGCCTTTCTCCTCTTACACAGTCCAGGACCCCAGCCAGGGAACGGTACCGCCCACAGTGGGCAGATCTTCCTACCTCAGTGAACACAATGCCCACAAGCATGCCCAGAGGCCCATCTTCTAGATGTTTCAAGATCCTCTCAAGTTCACTGCACTAATGGTCACAGCTACAACTGACAGGTGAGAGAGGCCCGAGTTCACAGTCCATGTGTGTGCAATGAGTGGATGTATAAACCAGGTAAATGTGCAACCTCTGAACATGAACATGGTCACCAAGCATTGTCAAGGTTGGAGATGAAGGTGCCTGAACTTCTTAGTGTTCATGGAGTATATTCTAGAGCCAAAGAGTTTTTTAACTGAGTCAGGAATAAGAACTTTCACAGGCCTAGTACTGAAGGTCGTCTTTCCCTAGTACTGCTTAATTTCTTTCAAAACCTACATGGTTTTATAAAATGTCTAATAAAATGATATTAAAGGGGCTAGAGAGATGGCTTAGCGGTTCAGAGCACTTGCTGTTCCTGCAGAATACCGGGGTTCGGTTCCAAGCACCCACATGGCAGCTCACAGCTGTTGACTCCAGTTGCAGGGCACCCAGCACACCTTTCTGGCCTCCAGGGGCACAGCACAGATGTGCTGCTCATACATACATGAAGCAAACATTCATACGCTTAAAAATAAATCTATAACAAGTGGTGCTAACAATCCCCTTCAGTTGACTGTTCTCTCCCAAAATAGTTTGATTTGGTGAAACTGTTCCTATATCTAGAACTGGTGAACTTCACAGAAAAAATATCTTAATTTCTGGGACTGGGGATGTAGCTCTCTACCACTTCTTTTTTCTGCCTCTGTCTCTTTGTGTTTGTCTTCCTCTCTCCTGCACATGAGTGTCACAGACTAGGCAAGTTTTTGACTCTGATTTAACCCTTTAGCTCAGGAAACAATGTAAAATGATGTCAGAAGTTCCTACTAACCCAGAAAGAGTGATTTTAAAGGAAACTGGGGGCAGGGGAGGGTGTTGCTAGGTGACCCAGATTAACTCCCATGACTCTGCGGGGCCTTCAGATGCTTGGGTGTCACATGACTTATGGTCATGAGGAGAGTGTACATGACCCTTGAAAGAAATGCATCTTTCCAGTTTGGAGAGGTTTGGTAAATAAAACCAGGTATGTGGTGTGCTCCCAGCAACCCCAGCCATTAAAGAGCTAAGCAGAGAACTCGGAGTTGAAGATCAGCCTAAGCTACATAAGAAGACCCTACACAACAAAACAAAACAAGATATAACACTGTCTTAGAGTTTACTAGTGCTCCGAAGAGACGCCATGACCACGGCAACTCTTACAAAGAGTTTAATTGGAGTGGCTTGCTTACAGTTTCAGAGGTTCAG